AGTGTATAAAATTTGGGAGCGCTAACAATGTATATTAATGACCTTATGATGTTATTAAGGATTGATTTGGGGTCAAATTACAACAAGAATAGTAACTGTTTTGTAACAATTTGGAGCACTAAAACGGTGTCTCCGAGCTCCAATTTCGCAAAATTTTCCCCAGACCCCCCGGTCGCTACTATGCGCCATACTTTTCCATATCAACTTGCTCCTCCCTGGGCCATCGCCTGGCTACGCCCATGCAGGGGTCATTATCATCTAAACTTGCATATTGTGGCACTAGCACCCTCTAAGGCATAATGAGTAAAATCACGTTCCAAAATCTGTCACTATCTCTCGGTCTATAACTTTTAAGTAGTGTATAGTGTTAAATAGACACCAGTAGGTGCTAAATTATTGGATAACAATGAAGAGTGATAGCGGCTAGTTGTATATCGGCACCTTCAGTTTCTATGTAGATTTACTTTATTGGTCTTCCAAGCTAGTGTAGGTTTACAACTTAGGTGTTACACAGGGCTAAGCAAACAACATAAACCTGCGTTATATTATTGAATTCTTATGCCAAATGGCGAGGCGATTAGCGTTACATTTGCCCCCCCCCCCCTTTCAATTTGTGCTAGTGCTATATGTTTCAAACTTAGGTGCTACATAGTGCTAAATGAACACAAACCGGTGCTACATTATTGGATTCTTGTACGAAACGGGGGGGGGGCTATCGTTACATTGGCCCCTCCCGCCTTTCAATTTGTTTTACTAGTCTTCCGTGCTAGTGCTAGGTTTCAGAATTGGGTGCTACATAGTGCTAAGTGGACACAAACCGGTGCTACATTATTGGATTCTTGTACGAAACGGGGGGGGCTATCGTTACATTGGCCCCTCCCGCCTTTCAATTTGTTTTACTAGTCTTCCGTGCTAGTGCTAGGTTTCACAATTGGGTGCTACATAGTGCTAAGTGGACACAAACCGGTGCTACATTATTGGATTCTTATACGAAACGGGGGGGGCTATCGTTACATTGGCCCCTCCCGCCTTTCAATTTGTTTTACTAGTGTTCCTTGCTAGTGCTAGGTTTAAAACTTGGGTGCTACATAGTGTTAGGTGCAAGCAATTCGGTGCAAATGTTTGGGGGTCGTATGCCAAACGGGGGGGGCCACTGTAACGGACCCCAATAAATGTAACATTCAGGAATAACAACGTTTTAATTTTTTAGACCCGTTTCATACATTTTTTTCATACATTTGATATAGGTGTATTGTTACCTACTTATCAAAAAGCAATTTAATAATATCGATTACATAAAAATTATGTACAATTTGGACGATGTACCTATTATAGATAAACATGACGAATTGTTTGTTGTCGGCACGTTCTTGAATCTAGCAGCTCTGTTAAAAAACTGTTCATACAAAAATGGATAATCTTGTGTCTTACATCCTTTAGGTGATAAATCTCAACGAAAATTTCAACCAGCAATTTTTTCGACCAATGAAATGCAGATTTCGTGTCACATTTCCATGGCAACCAAGGAATTTATCGTCAATTTGTTGACGTAAAAAGGTAATAATGTTTTGACATAAAACGTCACTTTTTCGTTGAGAGTCACTATGGTGTGAAATTTTCTTACCGAATACCACACGTGCTTGAATAGAATTTTTTTCTTGCTCACGAATATTTTGCGAAAGTTCAAATATTTGTGAGCACGAAAAGTTTCCGGAAATAGCAAGCACTAGTAGTATTACAAGTGATAATTTTTTTATTTCAGCATGTCGTTAGTAAAAAATTGTCAAAGTCCTCGTGTGAAGTATTGTCGAAGATACCACATTCCCTTCGTCGGTACTCGCGTCCGACGTCCCGTGCATCCCCAATTTGCGTTTGAAGTTTTACTCCACCATCAGTAAGATCTTGGCGGGGACCACCACATTCCCTTTTTCGGTACCCACTTCCGACGTCTCGCTCACCCGCAATTCGAGTTTGAAGTTTTTACTCCACCATCAATTTTCAGATTGTTTTCAAAATGGTGCCGTTGGAAAGATCTTGTAAACGGATACAACAACTGCGTGGCGAAAATTTGTTTTTTTCCTGGGTACGAAATTAACCTCATTTTACAAATCGCACGTTTGCGAGGGGTAGTTGACTTAGGGCACCCAAAAGGTATCTTCCTTTGCGAATTTTGTTTCTGAAAGCTCGAATCGCGATCTCTCTTTCTCGTGTGGCTAACAGAGCTATGCGAAGTGCCCAAAAAATTGAGAACTATTTTGTGGCGAGTTTTTAGCAAAATTCATCTAAATGCGAATTGTGGGTGAACGGGACGTCGGAAGCGGGTACCGACAAAGGGAATGTGTTAGCTTGCGACAAGATCTTCTTGATGGTGGCTAATACAATACTGATCTACCACACAAAAATGCGCTGATCTTCCTTCGATCCCACACGAGGACTTTGATAATTTTTTAATCTACCTATGCTTTTGATAATTCCACTGCAGGTTTGACGGCTAGCCAAATAAACTACTCGTATTTTCGTAAAGTATCAGGCGAATGTCGTGTTGGAATTGGAAAATTTCCGAAAATCTATTAAAACATTTTTTGTAATGAAAAATGAGTCATTTATTTTGTTGTAAATTAGATCAGAATTCAGATATATAATTTGATAAATGGGGGAAGGTTGAAAACGCAGCAAATACCGGGCTACATTGCGGAAGCCATGCGAAATATCGAAAACTGTTCATCTAATTGAAGAAAAGTACCATTCTTACATCCGCGCACCTGTGAAAATCGTTATCATATAAATTTAGAAATCTAGGGGCCGTAGTTTGATCGGATGTGATAATTGTTTAAATAAATTTGTGCTATGAACCACAAAAATTGAAGATCAGTTTTTCTTGTTTCGGAAATTGTTCCCTTCATTACCCAAGTCCAAATCTCAAAAAGTCATTATTGTAAATCCCTATATAGGAAGTAAGTAGGAAATCTTAGAAAGTAATACATTAGTAATATTTTTATATAGGTATGTAGAGCTTTCAGCTTTGATTTCCTATTCTATATTCAAAGGTTTCCAGTATTAGTAAAACTGTAAAACATCAGGAGAAAGTTGAAATTCCATAAATCAGTTACTTTTGTTGAATAGCCGCTAATGAGGGTCTGGAATCTGGTTTTATTGTAGGAAGATGAGGTCATTTGCAGGTAACTTATGCCTGGTGAAACTTGGCGAATTGCACGATTGGTTAATTGTTTATTGTTAATTATTTGCGTAGGCGCAGCTTAAATTTTGAATGGCTTGTCCCTAGCCGCCTTAACTGGCAGTTATTAATAATTACAGAGCCGCCTTTGACAGTAAAAATTCCAGATAACGAACTCCAGGAAATGATCTCCGTAGTTCCCGATGAAATCGATATTTTAAAATTTCCTTGTCATTCCCAAGCCGTGGAACGCTGTGTTAAATTAGTTACGGAAGCATCAGCAGCAGTATGTGGCTATGATCCAAGGGACGGATTTATAAGGTCAAGAATCGCCTCCAGAGCTTCTCTACCAAAATTTGAGACAAAATATCAGTATCTCCAGGTTCTTAAAGACAATTAGGGAGGGTGTGTGGTGGAAACTCGATTTGCAGCCACCTCCACGTGGTGAGTTCTTGGTTATTTTCATCAAGAATTCAAACCCTTGGGTGCAAATAAGCGAAGAGCTGCATAAAAGAATATGACGCCATTTATTTAAAATTAGGTGTAAAATTGGCAGCCAAAGAAGACGTCCTAGCAAACTGAGTTTTTGCACAGTAATTCACCTCTGCAAGAGGCAACTATTCCATATATAAGCCATCATTTTCGCTCCACCCTTTTTTAATATAATTAAATATAATTTAAATTATTTTTATTATTTAAAATATATATATATATATATCTGTGTATATGTGTGGTGGCGACTTGCGTAACGCATCATATGGATTTCAATGTAATAGTATTTTATTTGTTACTCAGTTGTAAACGTTGATTAACAAGAGAAAACGCAAACGGGTAAACGTCATGTTTAAACGCTACTGACTTGTAAAACTGACAGCTGACCTGTAAAAATTTTACAAGTTAGTAATCTAGTAATTTAATTGGCCAGAATTAATGCGAAGTCTCTGTTACATGGATAACATGATATTTTAGACATTTCTTCAAGATCAATTTAAGAACTAATTATTTACGTTTACTTTTGTTTACAAATGAATAAAATATAGTACATTATACGTCAGGTAATAGTTTTTACTGGCTCTAGGAGATGACAGACTCGCCAGTAAAAACTCACTTACCTACATAGCATAGCAAGCGCGGATAGCCGCTCCTCACACATCGACATTTCTTCAAGATCATGTTTTTATTCGCTTGAGCGTTGAAAAACATCTCTCGGCTTCTGCAGATGACGTCGGCATTGTGATAATTATCTCCAGCAATTTGATTGTTTCTTGAAAAACAGTATGCAGTTGGTACACAACTTCCAGTTCTGTTTTAATCTCTTTTCATCCAAATGTGGATATGCCTCTACCGTACTAGGCAAATACTGGCCAGGAAACTTTTATGAGTAGTCGTGAAACTTTGAAGACTGGAAAAGGTTTGATGCAATAAGATGATCTGTGAATTTGAATCTGGCTCTTGTTGCACTGATTATGACATCGCAAATTTCTTTGGCTTCTCTGTTTTTTGACCCTGTGGATGTTTCAATTCGACTCCTCTTTCGTCCTTCTTGATTGGTTTCTCCGTCATCTGCAATATTCAGTCGAACCAATATTCTCGTATCTTAGAAATTCCATCCGTGAACTTTTCAATGCTAGATATAAGGCATTTATATTGTTGTAGCAAAGCTAGGAAACAAATTTTAAGAATTGCATCTTTTTTGTAATACGTTTTAAATTTAATGTAAATGAAATAAGGACTAGGATATTGTACTAATAATTCTTTTAGATTTGATGGTTCAATTTATGTGGCCTGTACGAGACAGATCGGGATAAAATCTAAACACGTTATATAATTTAAGTATGTTTATTTATAATAATGAAAATTAAAAATAAATTATTGCCCCCTTGTGAGGGGGCATCTTGCTCCACCGATGCCGGCGGAGCCGGTGCCGGTGGGCTGATGGTCTTCTAAAAAAGAAATAAAAATAAATTACTTTTTTTTGTATCTCTCTGAAATTTTTTAATTTACATTTTACAGAAGCGATCAATCAATCTTGTAACTACCTGCTTTTGCTGACGTGTTAGTGAATTTAAAATTTTTTTTTTTTAATCTTACCTTTGCTTCTCCTTGTCTCTCCCGACCCTGCCTTCCTCTTCCTCGTTTTTGTACACCCCCTCGACCGTGTCCATCACGATGTTCTCGTCTTGGTCCACGTCCCCGTCCACGCTCTTTATGGTTCCGAGTTCTACAGAAAGAAAAATTGTAAGAAACACGTGTATAAATAGACATACTTATCTAATATAAATTTGATTCTGCCGTTAACTTACACGTCTGTAGGACGTCGCCGACGCTTTCGGCGTCCCGATGGACCTCCACCACCTCTTCAAAAACTCTAATTTCGTTTTCTGAAAGAAATATACAAAAGTATTAGCTATTTTATTTTTTACAATTACAATTTTGTATTACCTGATGCGACGGACATTGTATGTTCTGAAAAATACAAAAAAAATATGTTAACATAATACCTAGGAGACCAGGTTCACTAATGATTAAATGACATATCTACTTCATTAATATTTTGTGCAAATCGTTCTGTTAAAATTTTATTCCGACAAATAAATTTATAAAACCAATCAATTCCAGGGTAATTGTCTTTGAATTGTTTTATTTTTTCTCCTTTTCTGTCTAAATAGTTTTTAACTAACAGTCTCATATCTTGCTTGGTAAGAGGAAATCGCCACTCACTGAATGTTAAAATCCCTTGGGCCAACAGTATTTTCTTCTTCTTGTGAAATTGCGCATTGCCCGCCGTGTTTCTTCGTTTTTATTCCCTTTTTCTTATCATGTAAAGTAGATTTTGATATCCCATAATACTTCAGCAGCCTGTCTTACACTTTTTCTGCCTTGTCTAATATCTTCGAGTGCTCTAGCTACGTTTACTTCATTGTAATTTTTGAAATTAATCCCTATCTTAAAGTAGAACCATAGTGTCGGCATCCACCCCATTAAAATGACTTTTTACTAAAACGCCATTATTTAAGAAAAAAAAACAATATTTTTATAATCAAAGTGCCACGGGTTTACTAATAATAGAACACATCACAAAATATAGCTCATTATCAGTATATAGATTTAGTATTCTCTCGTGTCCAACAGCTTCTTTTGTGGTTTTCAAATTCTAAGCAATGTAACCGTAAAGATGTTTCTTGTCTTAGGAGCCAGAGGTATAAAATTTCGGACGCAAAAAATCGAACTAAATATCTTGAGAACTGTAGGAGTAGTTCAGGCCTCGGACAGAGAAAGTGGTTGCAATAACGCACTAAAAAATACACCGAGGCTGCGAGGTCAGTCAGTCACATAGTTTAAGAGCTTAACTTTGCAAAAAAGCGTATATTTTGAAAAAGGTCGGTCACTTTGGTCTGTATAATATACATATATTCATTCATTCATATTATGAAATCTTTAACCTGGTTTAATCTTAGGGTATATGCTATGTATATTGTAAATGTTAAAATAAAAAATGCAATTTCAATGAAGGCAAGATACGGATAATCCGCTGCCCGGATAAACTGCGCACGAATAATCGGTGTTCTACTGTTTTATGTAGGTAAATAAAAGAAAACAAACCTTTTATAACTTGGAAACACATCGTCTCTTTAAAAGCGATTTTGGAATTGTGCCCCGCCCAATTCATTTTTCGTGCCACTCTGTTAATAGAAACCTCATCATGTTGAGAACCACTGCTCGTACTGTGCCTCCTCCTATTATTGCAAGACGCTTTTTCTGTAAATATTAACAATTCCCTACAATTAGTATCATTAGCAAAGTGGGCAAGAAACAGTTATAATCAAGTGCAAATGTTAAAAAATCAAATGACAATGAGCAACCAAATCGATAACATTTTTAGGATTCTGAGTAGCGGTTTAAGAGTTCCAATATTGGATAAGGTATACGAATGCGAAGAGACGTCAAACAGATAGAACATATATCTATTGGAAGTGGCGCTCGATAAAGAAGCTACACTAGCAACCAGTAGATCAGTTGACATTAACCGAATTAACAAAGTCGATTTGTAACACCACCAAGTGGTAAAGGGCAAGACAGAACAGCAGCATTAAAGCCAGAAAAAGCTAACGACAACAAGGGTCAAAGGGGCGAGAGTGGGCAGTCTGTCATGTGATGCCTGCGGAGAGGGCAATCACATGTTTTCTAAATGTAGGTATAAGGAGTTTATTTGCAAGGTATGTAAAAAGAAAGGACATTTAGCGTAAGTCTGTTAATTTTAATAAAAAGATTAATGTGCATGTTAGTGATGTAACAGTTGAGGAAGATAATTTAGACTTTGTAGAAATATTTAACACGGAAAGTAATTATATTGTTAAGTCAATTACAGTAACTGTAACAATTAATAATGTTACTTTTGAAACGGAGGTAGAATTATGGGCAGGAGTTTCATTGATCCCTGAACAAATTTTTAAATTCAGTACAGCATTTAAAAATGTTGAGTTACAGGAAACATTCATTCGTTTAAAAATGTATGATGGATCTGTAATAGTTCCTACAGGTGAAATTTTTATTGATGTTCAATATAAAGATATTGTAAACAAGTGCAGATTTATAATAGTAAAAAATGGCAGCAAACCATTTACTATGGTAGGATTTAAGATCAGTATTCAAGACTTGTTAGACGAGGTAAATTATTTTCAATTATCTACTTTTACCGGTAATTGTATACAATAACCAAGGACCAGCGGTAAAAGTAAGAAAATGACATGAAAAGAAGAAATAAAAACAATAAATTCACATAGTTTTTCTAAGAAGTGTAATTTTTATTATTATTGTTCATTTAACCTAAAAACAAGAGGTTTTTTTGCCTGAATCAATAACCAGAGGCAAATTTTGTATGGCATTTATACTATTTCTTTGACATGACTAACTCTCATGGCACTTGGAATTACACAGCTTTCCATTCTTTTTACATTTACACTTGTCTATTTTACATTTAGTTTTGCAAACACATCGCTGATAGCCTTGCCCACCCGACAATGAAGTTTTTCTAACATACTCGCGCAATGAAATGTTAAGATTTGGAACCATATCTAGAGAAATGAATGATTCTTTGCAGAGGGTAAATTGATTTCTGCTATACGTCTGTGGCAGTCGCCCTTCTTTAGTACCCAATTCATACAACTCATATTGAACGCGCATAATAACAGCCAAAACATTTCTACAATCACTTCGTGCCCTGTCAACAACTGGTACTCTTAAATTATCACTTATCTAAAAGGGAAGAAATTGTTTTCACAAGGTTACGAATCATACCCGTATGACACATCAACATCTGCTGGGAAAAACTGCACGAGAGGTATGCGATGTATGTCGAGATAGAGTCACTGTGGACCATATCTTAGTAGTGTCCAAAATACGCAGATCAAAGGAATGTAACAGGGATAAATACAAACATTACTGAAATCTTAAATGGAAGTGAGGAGAATCTGAAGAAAGTAATGGATTTTCTAAAAAATATCAATTATTTAAAACGCTATAAATAAGAAGTAAGGATTAACAAGAATAAATTAGGCGTAAGACCTTTGTTGTCGTTGCCTTTTCCTGAAAAAAAAATAGCTCTTAAAAAATAATTTTAAAAAAATCGCAAACATTTGATAACTCCGTAAAAAAACAATTCTTAGTCGGTTTTTCACGAACTTTCTACGGATATAACTAGGTTACGGTTGGATGAACGAAGCTGATTTTTTTACAGACTAATGACAAGTACAGCCAATGTTTATGACAGTGTTTCTTTTTTAATTTTTTTCTCTAATGAGATTATCTTATTAAGATAATCTTATAATTAGAGAAAGTTAAAAAAAGAAATACCGTTAAGTGAAACAATAGAAAATGATCGTAAATACCAATATTAACCTTCCGCTGGTAACGTGAACTGTTGTGTCATAGTTGGTAACGTCGGTCTCTGATACCGACTTCTTTAAAAGTGTGTATCTTTACATGCGATTATTTTTTTTAACTTCTAAGTTGAGTAAATATTAAATTTAAAGGTAGTTTAAGAAATGCACATTCATAAATGAACAATTTTATCTTATATTTAGAACAAAAAGTGCCTTACAAACATAAATCTTTCTCTATATAAAAACCTAAATTAAAAAATAAAAAACTCAAATTATTCTCTGTTTGCATATTCAATTTCTTCACTACTGCACACAGTACATAGTCCAATTAAATGTTCCAAACATATATATTTACCACATTCCTTACAAAGGTATCGGGTTTTCCTGTTTTTCTTGCTACAGAACGCACACCTTCCATACACATTATTTTCATTAGGTTGATTTCTCGTAGAAATTCCACAAATTTCGGCCAACCTCATGCGAATTGTTCTTGGAATATTTTGTTCTAGCAGTCTATGAATTTGTTGGTCAATAGTTCAAAAGTTCTCTAAAAACTTTCGCCTAGGAATGTGACTGTTTGTGTTAGATTTATAAACGATGTCCGAATTTATGCCAGCAACATTCAAGCAACTATAGAAAATGACCATGGGCCATCGGCGGGTTGCTCTTGCGCAATTGTATGCCGCACATAGTTTGTCCACGACATCGACGCCTCCTTTCGTTTGATTATAATCTATGATTATGTCTGGTTTGCCAGTGACATTATCAATGTCATCATCGTAGTGCATAGTAGACAACACTAAAACATTTTGACCTTTTCGCGGTATATAAGAAAAAATAGTACATTTCTCCTGAAAAGTGAACATACTAGTTTTTGCTGGCCTTTTTTGTTGAGTCAGCACTAGGGGAATTTGAGGCTTGTTCTTCCTTATAGTTCCAATAACAGTTAAGCGATGTTGTTGTAAAAGTAACTGCGCGAGCTGACAGCTGGTAAAAAAATTGTCCATTGTAACATTCCGACCTGTTCCCCAAATCGGTTCACACATGCGAGGTACAAGTGCCAAATTTGACCTATCAATACAAAACGGTCCTGCGGGCTGCTTCCCGACGTAAACTACCAATTTTAATGTGTAAAACATTTTTGCGTCTGCTAGGGCGTATATTTTTATGCCATAACGGTTTGGTTTATTCGGGATATATACTTTGAATGAACATTTACCGCGAAAAGCTTCCAATTTTTCGTCTATTGTGGTGTACGCAGAAAGATTGTAGTGTTTCGAAAGATTGGAATTGAAGGCTTCAAAAATCTCACGTATCGCTGCTAATTTGTCATATTCTTGCCTTTGTATTCTGATACTTTTATTGTCGAACCGAATGTGCCTTAAAAGGAATTGGAACCTCTTCAGCGACATCACAAGACGATAAATCTCCATTGATCTGTCATCCGTTCTAAATAAATCTGCAGCATTCTGATGATTGCTTTTGTTAGAGCCAGATATGTATAGCAAACCCAATAATGCTTTCAATTCTATAAGGTCAATTAACCTAGCAGTTCTATTTCTGATTGTGTCATATGATTTCAATGCAATAAACTTATTAGTATACATTACTGTTTTTTCTAGAATGTCTGTGGTGAAAAAACATTCCCAAATCGGATTCATTTCTAATTTTCGTCGAATTTCTCCTTTGGGTCCAGGTAAAGTAGGCACAATATTTTCAGCACGAGTTCTAATACTTCGACGAATTTCAGGATGCTTCCTCCACTTCGTTCCATCCTTCCCAATCAAACACGGTATGCGAGATGTTGCTTCTAATGGGACCCGATTTTGGATATATTCTTCATCATCGAAATCTTCTTCGGAATTGGTATCGTATTCTAACACTTCCGTATGGTCATCTTGCAGACTTGTGTCGTCGTCGTCTGGTTCTGTCGGAATTACCACAAATTTCATCAAAAAGTTGTTGCAACCTGGCTTGCTCTTTTTCGTAAGCCATGTTTGGATGCAATTGCTAAAATTAAGGCTCAGAGTTACGCAATTTACAAAACAAACACCAAAAAAACCCTTAGCGTTTAGTGTTACACAAATGGTAACGTCGGTCTCACACACCGTCAGGTCAAATATCCAACGAACGGTATACACTGCGCCACGGACACTACACAACTGCGAAGTGCAAACAAGGATGTAGGGGTACTAGGCCGCACAGATCGAGCGAAATGCGTTTTGGGGTTTTAGCGCGAAAAATCGAATACGTCGGTCTCAGGGACCGCACGTTGCCACTCGAAGGTTAACTGTATCCTTTAGTACCACTGGTCCTAAATAAAGTAAAAATGTTCGGTAGGTCTTACGGTTCGCGCATGTCGATATTTTCATAATTATTAGAATTTATATACATTTTGATTTGTGTACCTTTTTAATTGCAATTATTTTTCCAATTTATATAAACATTCAGCGATATCTATGGAAAAGTTGACGCTAGGATGACGTTATAATTATGTCGTTAAGGTACGTTTCCAAGATGTCATATACGGACCGTCATAATGTCGTCATTTTGTCAGTGTGTTTGGTAGGTCACCAGCTCAAAAATTTCTTGGGTACGATATTAAAATACCATTAGATAGTATTCGACCTCAAAAAGCAACAAGTAACCATGCTAAACAACCACCATCCACACGCAGTCAATTAGCAGTCGGAGAGAGAGTAGCTGCACGTTATTACCTAGGTGAAAAGTGGAGGTATGGTGTTGTCAGAGAAATACTTGGAAAATGACATTACACTATCGAATTAGATAATGGGTATACTCTCAAGAGACACATAGACCAATTACCCACTTTTGCAGTTCCACAAAAACCGTTAGAAAATCCCAAATCTGTAACCGATTCTAACAATCCACCAATAATCCACTATTTCAATCTCAATGTGACAACTAATTAATGTACTTCTTACAAAAATTTGTATTGTTGTTGTCGTTCTTCTTGTATTTGTACTATATGTGGGAGAATTGTAGTGTAGTAGTTCAACTAGATTAGTATAGTATAGAATGACCCGAGCATCGCCCGATGAACTACGGGGCGAGAAATGAAACGGCAGTAGTGCAGACGATAATATGTAGTAAATAAGTGTTACGTATTTGTTTTAGGTTACTACAAGTCAGAATTAATAAAATATACAACATACCACTTGTTTTTGATTTTCGCTTATTTTTGAAGGTACTTGCAATTTTGAAAGTGTATTTTTTGCAGTTGGCGTATATGCCATGTAAATTTGGTTTAAATCAATATGACATCATATTTTGTAGTACTTGACCAGTCGATTACGTAAGTTGACTTTTGGATAATCTCTGTGGGATATATCCGATATAATGTCTTTTATTATGTTATTTTTTGTGGGATACCTTTTTCAACCAAAGGTCAACCAAATCACTTTTATTTCGTGAAAAAAGCACATTTATAAATTCGTGCAATTTTTACTGGAACGTAATTTTGGTCCTTGTAGCTTTTGTGCAAAATTTTCGCCATCGCGTTCCATTGTATCTCCTTAAAATCGTCTCTTAAAACCGGCACTTTCTGAGATTGTCCACACGTACATTTCTCATCAAAAGTACCCCAAAATTCCGTTAAAGTATCTCTACAAATTCCACCCATGTCGACACCTAATTCCGTACTTGTTTACAATGAGATCTTGGTCCGCAAATCCATTCAATTTCTATCTGTCTTTCACTTTTATGAGCATTGATTTCTTTCATTGGATTTTGAATATTCTCTCTATCTTCACCGTTATTCTTCTCTAAATTGTGTTTTTTACATTTATTGATTTTTTATCGCAATTTCTCTCTTGCAAAATGTTGTTTTCTTTTATAATATTCGGAAATGGCAATCAGGTCACCAATTTTATGAAAGTACACGCCAAGTTGGTCCTCACTTATAACCAGTGTTGCCAATCTTAAAAATTGAAAATTCCAACTATTAGTACCAAAAATTCCCCAATTTTCCCGCCATGGAGTACAGAAGTACCGAAAA